TGCTTCCAAATGAAAAAATCACGGTCAAACCAAGAAACCACAGGAGTGTGCAAATACATTAACGAAACACAATAGTCTACGAAAAAACAATACCTTTGGAGAAATTATGCCAACAAAACCACTCGCTAACCAAAGAGGAAGGAATAATGCACCTAAGCGACAAAGGAACAACGGTGCCAGCGGAAAAACGAGAGCTTTGAAGAAATGGCGCACAGAAAGCACTTCAATGGCGTAGAGAGAGAGAGACGACTTCCTCCAAAGACACTGGTGGACCCAAGCGACGGACGAACAACGGTGGACAGAGACACCACTTCAATGACTGAGAGAGTTTCAAAGGAAGGAACTTCAATGACGAAGATAGAGTTTTGAAGGATCTTTTGGTGAAGGGGGAGAGAAAGTTTCGAAAAGGGGGAGAGAGAGTTTCGAAAAGGGGGAGAGAGAGTTTCGAAAAGGAGGAAAGAGACATTCGCAGGGTCAGGTTTCAGAAATTGAAAAGCGCCAAAAAGTTTCTGAAAATTATTCCAAAAATGCCCTCCAAAACAAAATGAATCTTCAAACAAAATTTAATAAAAACAATCAATGACAGTGAGACACGTGTTGTTGTGAAATTGTTGTCAAAAATGTTGTTGAAGAAACGTTTTCCTATCTGGATTAAATACCTTTTTACTTTTTTCTAAATATTATTTTGAATCAATTCTTTTTCATTCTATTATTATTAATTTAAATATATGTATTATTTTGTTTATTAATAAAATTCATATATGAAACTGAAAATGTGGTATGACATTGGCAAGGTATCATACCAACAAAACAAAAAATATTTAATTTTAAAAGTATGATATATTTTCATAAACAATTTTAAATGTTTTAAAATAAAACAAAATGTGTGTTTTAATATAGAATTATAAAAGAAGTCAAAATTCTTAAAACGAAAAAGGCTAGATTTATAATTTAAAATTGCACAATTTTATATTTTACTTAAGAAAAAAATATATTTTTTTTCTATTTTTCAATTATATTTTTACTTCAAATTTAAATTGAAACATGATTGACTTGATTTCAATTAAATTGCCATTAAGTAAAAGTTAAACAACGTACATGGTACTCATAATATTTTTTATGTTATCTAGAATATTCTAAAAAAATTACAGAAATTTCTTTATAATTAAATTATTCAATTTTTATTATAAAAATAATTTAAAATAAATTTATTTTTAATTCATAATTTTTATTGACATTTTAGTAAAAAAAATAATAAAATAAGAGAAGTAAATGACATTTTATTGAAATATGAAAGAGAGACTAACATTTATTAAAAAGTTTATCAAGGTAAATGTAAGATTATAAACAAGTCAATATTATTTGTGGGATTTTATTTTATTTTTTATTATAGTATTTTTTTTTAGATTTTACGCAAAGTCATGCTAGATAAATTAATTTCATGAAGTCATCCACATCCATTTTAAGAATCACCACTCTTATAATCTCGAACATGATAAGAGTTTACAAGTATAAATTGAAGCAATCAAGGTAAGTTTATTATTGTGTACAAACTTGGGTATAATTGACTTTGACATTTATGCAAAACATAATCAATTTTCCAAGTTTATGATAGTGTTATACTAAAATGTCTATCTAACCAAGATCTATTAGGTTTCCGTTTACATTTTAGTATTTTGAGAAAGTATTGTTTATATTTAAATTTAAATTATTATTATTACTTCATAAATATTTTTTTTTCATGTTTATCTATGGTTGATATTTTAGAAAATTTAACACAGTCATGTTATTTTGATTAGTATCATACTAATAATGTTAAAGATATATTACATTTTAGTTTGTGATTTTTCTTTTTTAAATTAATCTTTTTTAAAAAATAAAAAAATTGTCATGTGATGTACAATGGTACTGTTAATATTATTGTCAAATATAATTATCTTATTCTCAAATTGATTATTATGTTTTAATCTGGTCTCAATTCAGTCTAATTCTTTTAAATTTTATATTTTACATTAAATTTTATTTGTATTGATATTTTATTACATCTATTTTAATACTGTTTTTCATTTAAATTTGTATTTCAAATACTTGTGTATTTTAAAATGTTTAAAATTCAATAATGTATGTACAATTATTTGAATTAGTTTAAAAATAACAATTGTGTAAATTTAAATGTAAAATTTTAAAATAATTTAAAATAATTTTATGACCATTTAAAGCAAATAAATTTAAAATTTAAAAATAATTTTAAATAAAGTTCAATATAAATTATAAATTTAAATAAAATTAATTTTGTTAAAAATATTTGATAAAAACACTAATTTTAATAAAAGTATTTGTATAACATATATAAAAAGTTAATTTCAATTTCAATTTGCAAACAAAATTTTTCAATTTAAAGAAAAAGAAAACTAAATTGAAACAAAATTAAAATACCATAACTAAATTAAAATTAAAACAATTATACTTTATGTGACAATGACATTGTCCCTCTTATATCACGCTACCTCTCATATCACACTACCATTTCAAGTAAGATAACATCATCTTAACATATAACAAATTTGATTTAATAAAAAAAAATCACAACATGAGACATGACATTTCTTTAACATGATTAATATAATATTAAAAAAATAACTTTATTTCATCAAAAATTTTAAAATGAAAATTAAATTAGAACATATAAGAAAACCTATTTAAAATTTTCTTATAAAAAGAGTTTAACTTGTATATACTTATACTTACATATTTACGTATTAAATCAAACCGGATATAAGTTATTTAAATAATGTTTTGTATTTAAGTACTGCAAATAATGAAAATATTTAAAAACAATTTTTGAGTTTTGTTGATAAATATTAAAAAATGTTCAAAACAAATAGATTGTATGCATCGATAGTTTAATAACTAAAAATATAATTCGTTTCAAGAACATGACTGTTGAGGCCCATTGGAAGCGGTGACATAAATAGGCGACAGTAGTAGCAGCAGCCGCCTCCGTATTAAATTACACCACACGTAACTCTCTCTTTCCTCCACTTATTTATTTCCAACTGTGACAAACATAGTTTCTAACAATCGCTTTTAAAATTAACATTTTTCTTTAAGGACAATTATTTTTTATTCCTATTAGAAACTTTCCTTGTCATAATCCATCATCACATAAATATTTGTTTAATTTAATTTTAATAGAATCAAATTTTGTTTGAAACTAATAATTAAATAAAAGAAAAAATAATGTTCGTTTTTACAAATTTAAAACTTACTACTTAAGATGTTTAAAATTGTGTTTCTAGATTCGGTGAGGGGAAGCACGTGGATGATTTGAATGAGAATGGAAAGAAAGAATAGTTCCTGATATGAATGTGAAAAATGGAAGGAAGAAAAATGAACAGAGGGGTGATGACATTAGAAGTAGAATAAGAGAGAGAGAGAGAGAGAGGAGAGAGGGTGGGAACGAGGATGGGTGAGAGTGGGGACGAGGCTCTAACGCCGGCGGGGAGGCTTTTCCTGCAGGAAGAAACGAAGCAAGTGATCCACTGTGTGATAGGGCTGAAGAATCCCATCGACGTGGAGTTAGTGAAATCGGAAGTGCGGAAGTCAACCATGCTCCAACACCCGCGCTTCAGCAGCCTGATGGTGAGAGACGAAAGAGGAGTGGAGCACTGGCGAGCCACCCAAGTGGAGATTGATCGGCACTTCCGCATAATCGAGGAGGCGCTGGGTGAGGAAGGGGATGAACGGGCCATCAACGGCTACCTTGCGGAACTATCCATAGACTGCGATGGGCTTAGCATGGATAAGCCCCTCTGGGAAATCCATCTTCTCATGGCCCACAACTGCCTTATTTTCCGAATCCATCATGCCCTTGGTGATGGTATTTCCTTGATGTCCATGTTCCTCGCCAGCTGCAGGAAACTCAACGATCCCCAAGCTCTCCCTGCCATCGCTTCTCCTTCAAATACCTCTTACCCTCCCTTCAATTTCTGGAATCTCCTCGCCACTCTCTGGTTTTCTTTCCTCTTTGTCCTCGATTTTATCCTCAGGTGTTTCTGGGTTCGTGACCCCAGATCCTCGATCACCGGAGGCGCCGGCGTTGAGCTCTGGCCCCGCAAAATTGCTACTGCCTCTTTCTCCCTTCAAGACATGAAGACCGTCAAGACTGCCGTTAATGCGGTAAATTTTCATTTCCCTGTCTCTCTCTTTTCTTCTTTTATTTTTATTACTATATACCAAATCAAATTATTCTTCCTCACCCTCCTCATTTTAGGCATCCAAAATTGACAACTCCTACTTTCCATAATTCGAATTTATAAACGGAAACAATATTAAAACATCATGCAATTTAGTTCACCTTTCTCCATACTTCTTTTTTATTTCTGCTTTATATTACCGGCATCGTCTATTTTTTTTTTTTAACAGTTTCATCGTTACCAGTTCCCCTCTCAGATGAATAAATTCATCAATTTATTTCAAACTGATCAATATTGTATGGTTATATATTATTTTGTTAAAAATTGATAAATTTTATATTATTGTCCTATCTCATATTTTGACTGACCCATTTCAGAATATATAATGATTAGCTTAAGGATAACGTTGACCATTTATGGTGAAAAAGTTGTTGGTTTTTTTATTACATGTTTAATGATCTCACTTTCCACAACCCCTTTTCTTGACAAAAAGCAAATATTAGAAAAACTCTAGTAAGTAAAAAAAAGTCAGTTTATCTTTTCAAATTTGGAAGTTTTCATTCTGGTTGTAGGGAAGATATGTAAGGTTTAGAAACGTCAATTATTAAAATTTCTTCCTGATATGGTCAAACCCAAATTCTCGCTAATGTTAGGCAGCTAGTATAGTTTCTTTCATATGATACTATCCTAAGTAATGCCTTCCACAAAAAAAAGATGTGGTGGAAATGTACTTGTAAGTTCTTCATGAGTGTTGTATTTTTATGGCGATACGTTGGACTAAGATTAATCCTTAAGATAAAATAAAGAAAAATGTCTATTTAACAATTTTTTTTTGACAATTTTTTTCTAATAACTTTTGTGATAATTTATGATTGGTATGTTTGAACCAATAAAATAGTAACACATAATTATCTATTTTTAAAAAATTAATAAAAAAAGTTGTTAAAATATAATGGGTCTAAAATAATAAATCTTATTGTTAAAAGATTGTGAACTGTGACGATAGGTAGGCTATCCTTAAGATAAGTCTTTTTCCTCCATAAGTCTTGTCTCTCAAAAACTAGAAATATTCTAATGATAGGTAGAATTTCAAATTACTTAAAATAAGACTTATCAGATAAGACTAGTTAAGAATATAATAACACTAATATTAACAAATAGATGAGAGCATATTTGAAGTCTTATTACAACTAAATGGAAATAAATACGTAGTTTAGCATAAATTACAAATCTGCCGATTAATAAAACAAATCCTGATATGAGTAAGTAGGATTAAATAATCATCAAATAGTAGAATAAACGATAGATACAAAATAGAAAATCAGGAATATGAATCATAATTTTAGCATCAAAATTATAAGCACAATAGGGTATTTGGTTATAAAAAGAGTTGATAATGACCTAGAAAAGATAACAAGCACTGAGTAACATAGGTAATTAGTTGTAAAAGTTGATTAAGGAAAGAGATACATAAGATGTTACGGAGCTAAGTTTTTGAGGGGTTTTCACATTAATTTCCTGTAAAAAAAAGTTTTTTTAATGAGATTAATTAATTGAGCTTTTTTTGCAAGGTCTAGAGCAAGTGTTGAGCCGCCAGGTGATTTGAAGATTTATAAATGTATCTGAGTTTGAATAACCTTAAATTTATGCAACAAATTGCTAGTATAGAATGTAATTAGAGGAAAATATCTAAGATTACAACCCCGATTAACATGAACGTAAGAGATTCCAATTGACATCTTTTTGATCCAAACCGAATGGATAGTTAAGTTATGTTATGATTAGATCCAAACTAAATATTTTTGGTGACTTTCACTTCATGTTCTTGTGCTGTTCATGTTATAGAAAACACGATTCAACCTTGTAAAAAAGGTTGCAAAACACTGAACGACTGTGTACTACAATGCTGTGTCTTTTACCACCCATAGTAATAATATAGTATTATAGAAAAAAGCGAAGACAGACTTCACTGACTCTTCGTTCTTGTCAACATACAAACATACCAGCATCTATGAATACTTTTCGTTCTTGTGATTGTTAATTTTTGCTATTGTGCAGACCATAAATGACGTTCTATTTGCAGTTATATCGTGTGGGATATCTAGATACTTGGACTTCCGAGCACCTAACGGTAAAATTCTGTTCTATTTTCTATTGAACAAAGCTTCTCTTTCTAATTATGTTCAAAAGGCGTGCGTGCACTCAAACACACACATGATCATAATTGATTGAATAATATTTTTCTGTAAGGGCTGCGAGACGGTGTTCAGCTGACAGGGTTAGCTATGGTTAATTTAAGAAAGCAACCAGGGTTGCAGGTTTGCTCTCGCCTTGCACAAATTTACTTTCCTTGTACACCTGTTTTCGATCTACAACTTTACTGAGGTAGGATAAAAATGAACTATTATTATTGATCAGGAATTGTCCAATTTGATGAAAAGCAATTCAGGAGCGAGGTGGGGTAACAAATTTGGTATGATTCTGCTGCCAATATATTACCACAGAAGCAACTTTTCAGATCCTTTAGAATATTTGAAGAGAGCTAAGGCAACGATTGACAGAAAGAAACGATCTCTAGAGGCCAGTTTCTCATACAAAATTGGAGATTTTGTAATGTCCACCCTTGGTCCGAAGGTCCACTTCCTTTTTCCTCAGTTTTCAGACTATTTTAGTGGTAAAGTAGAATATTTCAACTATCGTTAGTCTTCAATAAACACAATGCTGTTTTATCTCTATGTTGCAGTTTGCTGGCCTTCTAAATTACCGGATACTCTGCCACACCACCTTTACAATCTCAAACGTGGTAGGGCCACAAGAGGAGATTATGATTGGAGGCAATCCTATAACGTTCTTAAGGGCAAACAATTCTGCCTTGCCACATGTATGTCCCCTAATCTCTGTTTTTCCTCACGGACTTAAGTACTTCAAACTCGAGAGCGTACTTGTAGGTGAATATAGTTATGATCATTGTTGTTGACTGGTTTTGTAATGCAGGCGCTGATTTTGAATATGGTGAGCTATGCTGGAAGGGCAGACATGCAAGTGCAGGTGGCCAAAGACATCATTCCTGATCCTGAGTTTCTTGCCAAGTGCTTTGAGGATGCATTGCTTGAAATGAAGGAGCAGGTTACGGCCAAAATCTGACTTATGGAGAAATTTGATTTTGATAAATGTGATAAAATTACTGTATGTGAAATATTGAGATGCTTACGATCACAGGCAAGTAATTTAGATTATCACAACATTTACTTAAATGTTATATAGGACTTAATTGTGATACATTCTGCTCTCTCTTAAGTTCCACACCGGTGGCATATGTATATTTGGGTTAAAATCTGTTTACATTTGGTGTTTTAAAATTAGTTAAATTACATCCGTAATAATAACTTATAAAATATAAATTTAATCATTCCAATTGATGACATTTTCCAACGTATATAAATCATTAGCAAAGTTTGTAGACTCTTAGTGCTATCCCTATATGCGTCTATCATGTATATGATATCAGCAGGACTACTTATACGTAATAAGTTCAAAGGATTGATAGACAGTATTGGAAATGTCGAAAAGACAAGTGCAAATATGATACGATGGAGTCTCTATCGTCTCAGCATTTAGAGCTGATTAATACAAGATTAAGAAAAATTCTTTAAACAAATTCTCTGTTTAAGCGTCTGTTATCCATCCAACCCTTTGGAAGGAAATGACGACGAAATGTTGGTCCAAAACAAGATAGAAACCGCGTGTTTGAATTAGTTTGAAAGGGCATGGTATGACGCAGGGGATTACGAAGTCTGCTAACACCCTGACGCAAGGGATTACGTATTCTGCTTTGTATTTTAAATTTCGAACAGACGAAAAGTAGTCTCGACCATTGAGAGCAATGGATCGATTAAGGATCAAGTGCTGCTGTTCAGTATTTTATTATATGACCAATTCTAACACGGTGATCCATCTGTTATAGTTTTACATGTTACTGGGGAAAAAAGTGAACAGTGTCCGCTGGAAAACAACTTGAGACGGACTGGCTATATGTTGTAAAGCTAGAAGGATTTGGTTGAGGGGCAAATAAAATACAGTGTGTTAGTGTGAGTTAGGGGAATATGGATGCGAAAGGAAAACTAAAGGTAATGTTTCTTCCTTTTCCTGGTCAAGGACACTTGATCCCAATGGGTGATATGGCAAGAGCATTCAGTGGAAGAGGGGTGAGGGCAACTATAGTCACCACTCCACTCAACGTACCTGCTATTCGGGGGACCATAGGAAAAAGCTCAGATTTAGACTCCGACTCGGAGATAGAAATTGTCAGCATCAAATTCCCTTGTGCAGAGGCTGGCTTACCTGAGGGATGCGAAAATACAGAGTCACTCCCCTCTCCAGACTTCATACCCGCTTTCTTAAAGGCAACCACCATGCTAGAGCCCCAATTGGAACGCCTCCTTCTTCAACACTCACCACACTGCCTTATTGCCAGTGCTTTCTTCCCCTGGGCATCTCATTATGCAGCTACATTCAATATCCCAAGGCTTGTATTTTATGGCACCGGTGTCTTCGCCTTGTGTGCTTCAGAATGTCTGCGACTCTACCAGCCTCACNCTACAATGCTGTGTCTTTTACCACCCATAGTAATAATATAGTATTATAGAAAAAAGCGAAGACAGACTTCACTGACTCTTCGTTCTTGTCAACATACAAACATACCAGCATCAATGAATACTTTTCGTTCTTGTGATTGTTAATTTTTGCTATTGTGCAGACCATAAATGACGTTCTATTTGCAGTTATATCGTGTGGGATATCTAGATACTTGGACTTCCGAGCACCTAACGGTAAAATTCTGTTCTATTTTCTATTGAACAAAGCTTCTCTTTCTAATTATGTTCAAAAGGCGTGAGTGCACTCAAACACACACATGATCATAATTGATTGAATAATATTTTTCTGTAAGGGCTGCGAGACGGTGTTCAGCTGACAGGGTTAGCTATGGTTAATTTAAGAAAGCAACCAGGGTTGCAGGTTTGCTCTCGCCTTGCACAAATTTACTTTCCTTGTACACCTGTTTTCGATCTACAACTTTACTGAGGTAGGATAAAAATGAACTATTATTATTGATCAGGAATTGTCCAATTTGATGAAAAGCAATTCAGGAGCGAGGTGGGGTAACAAATTTGGTATGATTCTGCTGCCAATATATTACCACAGAAGCAACTTTTCAGATCCTTTAGAATATTTGAAGAGAGCTAAGGCAACGATTGACAGAAAGAAACGATCTCTAGAGGCCAGTTTCTCATACAAAATTGGAGATTTTGTAATGTCCACCCTTGGTCCGAAGGTCCACTTCCTTTTTCCTCAGTTTTCAGACTATTTTAGTGGTAAAGTAGAATATTTCAACTATCGTTAGTCTTCAATAAACACAATGCTGTTTTATCTCTATGTTGCAGTTTGCTGGCCTTCTAAATTACCGGATACTCTGCCACACCACCTTTACAATCTCAAACGTGGTAGGGCCACAAGAGGAGATTATGATTGGAGGCAATCCTATAACGTTCTTAAGGGCAAACAATTCTGCCTTGCCACATGTATGTCCCCTAATCTCTGTTTTTCCTCACGGACTTAAGTACTTCAAACTCGAGAGCGTACTTGTAGGTGAATATAGTTATGATCATTGTTGTTGACTGGTTTTGTAATGCAGGCGCTGATTTTGAATATGGTGAGCTATGCTGGAAGGGCAGACATGCAAGTGCAGGTGGCCAAAGACATCATTCCTGATCCTGAGTTTCTTGCCAAGTGCTTTGAGGATGCATTGCTTGAAATGAAGGAGCAGGTTACGGCCAAAATCTGACTTATGGAGAAATTTGATTTTGATAAATGTGATAAAATTACTGTATGTGAAATATTGAGATGCTTACGATCACAGGCAAGTAATTTAGATTATCACAACATTTACTTAAATGTTATATAGGACTTAATTGTGATACATTCTGCTCTCTCTTAAGTTCCACACCGGTGGCATATGTATATTTGGGTTAAAATCTGTTTACATTTGGTGTTTTAAAATTAGTTAAATTACATCCGTAATAATAACTTATAAAATATAAATTTAATCATTCCAATTGATGACATTTTCCAACGTATATAAATCATTAGCAAAGTTTGTAGACTCTTAGTGCTATCCCTATATGCGTCTATCATATATATGATATCAGCAGGACTACTTATACGTAATAAGTTCAAAGGATTGATAGACAGTATTGGAAATGTCGAAAAGACAAGTGCAAATATGATAAGATGGAGTCTCTATCGTCTCAGCATTTAGAGATGATTAATACAAGATTAAGAAAAATTCTTTAAACAAATTCTCTGTTTAAGCGTCTGTTATCCATCCAACCCTTTGGAAGGAAATGACGACGAAATGTTGGTCCAAAACAAGATAGAAACCGCGTGTTTGAATTAGTTTGAAAGGGCATGGTATGACGCAGGGGATTACGAAGTCTGCTAACACCCTGACGCAAGGGATTACGTANCACAGGCAAGTAATTTAGATTATCACAACATTTACTTAAATGTTATATAGGACTTAATTGTGATACATTCTGCTCTCTCTTAAGTTCCACACCGGTGGCATATGTATATTTGGGTTAAAATCTGTTTACATTTGGTGTTTTAAAATTAGTTAAATTACATCCGTAATAATAACTTATAAAATATAAATTTAATCATTCCAATTGATGACATTTTCCAACGTATATAAATCATTAGCAAAGTTTGTAGACTCTTAGTGCTATCCCTATATGCGTCTATCATGTATATGATATCAGCAGGACTACTTATACGTAATAAGTTCAAAGGATTGATAGACAGTATTGGAAATGTCGAAAAGACAAGTGCAAATATGATAAGATGGAGTCTCTATCGTCTCAGCATTTAGAGATGATTAATACAAGATTAAGAAAAATTCTTTAAACAAATTCTCTGTTTAAGCGTCTGTTATCCATCCAACCCTTTGGAAGGAAATGACGACGAAATGTTGGTCCAAAACAAGATAGAAACCGCGTGTTTGAATTAGTTTGAAAGGGCATGGTATGACGCAGGGGATTACGAAGTCTGCTAACACCCTGACGCAAGGGATTACGTATTCTGCTTTGAATTTTAAATTTCGAACAGACGAAAAGTAGTCTCGACCATTGAGAGCAATGGATCGATTAAGGATCAAGTGCTGCTGTTCAGTATTTTATTATATGACCAATTCTAACACGGTGATCCATCTGTTATAGTTTTACATGTTACTGGGGAAAAAAGTGAACAGTGTCCGCTGGAAAACAACTTGAGACGGACTGGCTATATGTTGTAAAGCTAGAAGGATTTGGTTGAGGGGCAAATAAAATACAGTGTGTTAGTGTGAGTTAGGGGAATATGGATGCGAAAGGAAAACTAAAGGTAATGTTTCTTCCTTTTCCTGGTCAAGGACACTTGATCCCAATGGGTGATATGGCAAGAGCATTCAGTGGAAGAGGGGTGAGGGCAACTATAGTCACCACTCCACTCAACGTACCTGCTATTCGGGGGACCATAGGAAAAAGCTCAGATTTAGACTCCGACTCGGAGATAGAAATTGTCAGCATCAAATTCCCTTGTGCAGAGGCTGGCTTACCTGAGGGATGCGAAAATACAGAGTCACTCCCCTCTCCAGACTTCATACCCGCTTTCTTAAAGGCAACCACCATGCTAGAGCCCCAATTGGAACGCCTCCTTCTTCAACACTCACCACACTGCCTTATTGCCAGTGCTTTCTTCCCCTGGGCATCTCATTATGCAGCTACATTCAATATCCCAAGGCTTGTATTTTATGGCACCGGTGTCTTCGCCTTGTGTGCTTCAGAATGTCTGCGACTCTACCAGCCTCACAACAATCTTTCTTCTGACTCTGATCTATTTGTTATTCCTCATCTTCCGGGAAACATCCAAATGACAAGGATGATGTTGCCCGATTACGCTAAAACTGACGGGGAAACCAAACACGCAGAACTGTTGAAGGCGATCAGGGAATCGGAGGTCGCAAGCTTGGGGGTTATTGTTAACAGCTTTTACGAACTGGAGCAGGTGTACGCTGATTATTACGAAAACCTGCAGGGACGGAGGGCGTGGTTCATAGGTCCGCTTTCTCTGTGTAACCAACAGCAAGACAAAGGCAAGCGAGGGAAGGAAGCCTCGGTTGATGAAGGTGACATTTTGAAGTGGCTGGATTCGAAGAAAGCCAACACAGTGGTGTACGTTTGTTTTGGTAGCATGGCCAACTTCAGTGAAAGTCAGTTGAGAGAAATAGCGAGGGGACTTGAGGCATCGAGACAAGAATTCATATGGGTTGTGAGGAGAAGTGACAAGGAATGGCTTCCGGAGGGGTTTGAGAGAAGAACAGAAGGAAGAGGAATGATTATTTGGGGATGGGCACCTCAACTTCTGATTCT